GACTAGAACCTGGTTTAAATGTTCATTTAAACATCTGATCAAAGAATGTAAATCTTCTATCTCATTTGCAGCTCACTTCTGTCCAGCCTACAAGCTTCTGTATCAACCAAAGCATTCCTGTTCTTCATAAAGATGTGCATAGAGGCATTTTCTGAAGATGTTTGTTCTCTTCTTACTCAAGTCTTTGAAATTAAAAGGCACTCAACTGCTTGAACAACAGATGAAAGCAAACAGAAGTGAGCACAGCCAAAACACATGGCATTCATTTTTAATTTTTGGCAATGTGCCTGAAAGTTTCCTTGCACTCTTTTTCACAGAATCATAGACTGGCTTAGGTTGGAATGGACCTTAAAGATCATCAAGCTTCAACCCCTGCTGTGGGCTGGCTGCTCCCCAGCTCAGGCTGCCCAGGGCCCACCCAGCCTGGCCTGGCACCTCCAGAGATGGGACCACAGCTCAGGGCAGCAGTGCCAGGGCCTCGCCACCCTCTGTGTAAAGAATTTTCTCCTAACATACAACCCCCCACTAACTTCTCCCCTCTTTTATTCAAACTCATTCCCCTCTGTCCTATCACTATCAGATCACAGATAAGTTGGTTTCCCCCCTGCTTATAAACTCCCTTCAAGTATTTGAAGGCTGCAGTGAGATCTGCCTGGATCCTTCTCCTTTCTAGGCAGAACAAACCCAGCTCCCTCAGCCTTCTTCTTCACAGGAGAGGTGCACCAGCCCTACGAGCATCTTCCTCCTCTGGACCACTCCAACAGCCCCACATCCTTCTTGTGCTGGGGGCCCCATGCTGTACTGCAGATGGGGTCTCACAAGAGCAAAGCAGAGGGGACAATCACCTCCCTGCTCAATGCCAGCCCCCTGTTGATGCAGCCCAGGACACTGTTGACCTGGGCTGTGAGCACACAGTGCTGACTCATGTCTGGATTTTCACCCACCAGGAACCCCCAGGTCCTTCTCTGCAGGGCTGCTCACAACGAATTCTCCCCGTCTGCACACGTATCTGGGACTGCACCAATCCACGACCAACACCTGGAACTTGGCCTTGTTCAACCTCATTCTGCTCACATGTGCCCACTTGTCAAGCCTGTCCACGTCCCTCTAGATGGCATCCCTTTCTTACATCATATCAACTCACCACACAGCTTGGTGCCATCATTTACCAGAGGCTTACACTCTCCTTGGCCAGTCTCTTCTGACAAATGCACCTGTAGAATCCCTTCTTGTTATTTTTCATATTCCTTGCCAAGTTCAGTAGATGTTTTCTAGTAAATATATTCGTTCTGAACAACAACAAATAAAACACCTATTTATGATAATGCTTTCCATTTAGTTTAGGGAAATAATTCTAACTGAGGAAAGCAGGGCTTTCTTAGAACACCATAGCAGGCTTGATGATCTTCAGTGATGGTTTTTTTGTTTTGTTTTCTGTACAGAAAGGAAGTCACATTCAATAAATCAGGAAAAACTGCTAGTACTTGGCTACTACATACCACCACGATTGGTGTCACAAACCATTACAAAAGGCAATATGTTTGACTGCAAACACGCAGAAGAGTAATGCTTGCAATCTAACTTATACTTTCATGTTTCTTACTTAAAATGAATAGTTGCTACCATGGAATTCAACAGTCTGTATGTTCTTATATAAGATTTGTTATACGCATATAATCTGATAGGAAAACATACTGAAATCTGCATAAGAAAATTCAATGTGCATGCATTTTATTCTTCAGCAGCACTTAAATACAAGCAAATTTTCAATACCAAGTTACCTACGCTGAGAAACCTCACTGAAACACTCCTCAGACAGGAGAAAATTCTGCTATAAGTAACCAACCATTCATTCAGCAGTCATTACTGCTCACAGTACACACAAAGAAACAGAGATCAGCATGGTAAAATGTATTTAAGTTCATTCACAATTAAAGGCTCTTTATTTGGCTTGAAGAATAACATGAAGCTGGAGCTGTTTTTTCAACACATACTCAGGCTATGTAAATGATAGTTTTTATAGATTGGGGCTGTTGGATGGCTAGGCTTTTTTAATAGTTACAGTAAATTTTTTTCACTTTTAGAAGCAGATTACTTCTATTTGGAATCCAGTAAAGTTACTACCAGGTCCTTTAGCAATCAGTTGAAGGTTTCACCGTGAGAAGTTACAGGCTCTTTAAATTAATGTAATTTATTCTACCACCCAAAATTTCATGAAAACTTTTGGCATCTCTTACTGATTAAATCAAAATCAGCAGCAAGCTGAATGCCTCAGACCAAATTTGTTTTGATTGTGGAGTTTTTATTAATGTGATTGTTATATGTAATGAACATGCAAGATATAAAAGAGGTTTACAAGTCCTTGACTGCAGAAGCTTGAATAATAATAAAAAAGTAATGGCAGACACTTATGTCAGCTGTATAAAACAGCAGGTCTTCTCCCTCCGAACGCACTGGAGGGAATATGTAATTTGCAGAATACACTTCCTTTCTGAAACAGACTCATGCAAATGTTGTAATAAAGAATCTTTTCCGAAGCTACTCAAACACATGGACAAAAACTAAACCAAAACGAATAACAGCAACAACAGATTGATCAGAGCATATGATCCACTGAGCTGGGCATAGCACAAAACCTACACAGCTCCAAGACAAAAAATGCTTCTGCGTTGCTACTGCTAGATCAAACCTTCCACAATCACACAAAACAAAGCACTTTTGGGGTCACAAATATTTTGACCACTTAAACCGTTTGACATTCAGCATCCAATATTAATTAGTAGTGAATCATCAGCACACACTGCACACCATGTCTTGTGTTTATTTGTCAAAAGTGTAGCCTCACGGTATACATGATGACGATCAACCATATCTTGGGTTGTGCCAACTGCACCCTGGGCTGCATCAAGGGAAGTGTGACCAGTAGTCTGAGAGAGGTGATTCTGCCCATCTCCTCTGCTCTCACTCCCACCTGTACTGCATCCACTTCTGGGATCCCCAGCACAAGGACACAGTGCTGTTGGAGCGGGTCCAGAGGAGGGGCATGAAGGTGACCAGAGGGTTGGAGTACCTCCCCTATGAAGACAGGCTGAGAGAGCTTGGGGCTGTTCAGACCAGAGAAGAGAAGGCCCTGGGGGGACCTTATAGCAGCCTTCCAGTACCTAAAGGGGGCATACAGGAAAGATGGGCAGGGACTTCCTACAAGGGCAGGTAGCAACAGGACAAGGGGAAATGGTTTTAAACTGGCAGAGAGTAGGTTTAGACTAGATATTAAGATGAAATTCTTTACTGTGAGGGAGGTGAGGCACTGGAACAGGTTGCCCAGAGAGGCTGTGGATGCCCCATCCCTGGAAGCATTCAAGGCCAGGCTGGATGCAGCTCTAAGCAATCTGATCTAGAGGGAGATGTCCATGCCTACAGCAGGGAGGTTGGAACTAGATCATCTTAAAGGTCCCTTCCAACCCAAACCATTCCATGATTCCATGATTTTATGTTCTGCTACAAGATCCTGTAAAGTATGTTTCCAGCATTAATTGCAGTGGAACCTGTGTTCCAAATATTTTTAAATCACCAAGATTCTGAACACAACTCGGTCTTGGAATAATGGACCTTAAGCAAATTCTTAATCGTTAATTCTGCATTTGAAAGGCCAAAATGGTAGGTGAAATGTGGAAAATATTGGGAATGAATGTAAAGCTCTTGTTCCATTTACTCTCCCCCTGACAGCAAAGCCACAGTATGAGTTCCACGCCTCAGTTTCACCTTCACATTTTCACTCAACTTTTAGGGGCTGTTGCATCAGTGAAATATTGCTAAAAACATTGCTGACATGTGGAACCAAGCCCCTTTGCCCCAGTTCTGTATACAGTTTCAGGAAATGACAGTGAGAAAGGAAGGCTGAGCAGAATTAAGGGAAAAAAGAGATAATGCAGAAGGTTGATAGAACGCCTTCAGATGGAATCACTGTCAAAAACTACTGAATCACATTTCACATTGATGTCCTAAAAGATGGGAAATAGCAACGAGCATCCATATGTCAGTATGCCCTGTATCTTTTTGTGAATGATGATTTTTGACAAGTGACCGCTCAGTACAAGTAATTGTAGTGCACAGTATGTAATGTGTTTCATGGTTTGTTAACACCTGAAATTTCATTTCTGTCTTCCAGTATCGTGGAACATACAGCGCAGTGCCTCTACCAGCTTCTGAAATAAACTGTAACTGATCACCAAGTATCTCGTCCTGATTTTGACCCAAGATATTCCAGCACATTCCACTTTGCACTGAATCGTGTAAAATCAGTTCTTGAACAAATCTGACAGGAAACACAGCAATGCTTGCTTATCTAGATGAGATCAAGCCTGAGTCCTTGTAAATGATGTACTAGGCAGTGCTTAACTCCATGGAAAGAGGTAATTCTGCAATGAGAATTATGCAGTCTTTATTGGACCATAAAGTTAAAGTGAGGAATACCCTAAGGAAAACAAATTTAGAGATACTGAAGTGAGATACACTTTCCTGAAAAGTAGACCAAACTTGTACAATTTTCTGTAGTTGGAACATTAATGTTATCATGTTAAACACTGTTCTGCAAATAGATAAATTGGTGTTAGAATCTGAAGGAGCCGAAGGTGTAAAAATCATGTGGATCTAAGATCTTCAAAATAAGCTGATCATCTGCCAAGATCAGAATGCCTGCTTGGCTGTCTTACATCCCACTAAATCCACTCAAGTCAGCTTTCCACTCACCACATAAGTGCTAATGCACACGCACAGAACGAGACCATGTCACGGCCTTATTTACATGCTGCTGTTAATTGCTTTTCAGTCTTCTAGTGAATGTCACAGTGTACCAGACAAGGTTTCTACAAACCATGACAGGCAGTTCTCTGACATAACATTTAATCACCCTTAGTAACAGCATGAGTCTTTTGCCATTCACATTTTACTTAAAATTGTTAAACTTGAGAGCTTAATTAACAGTGAGATTTTTGCTTCAATCAGGAAAAAAAAAAAATTTATTTGTGCAACCAAACGTCATACACATCTTGCTAAAATTTCTATGAGAGTAAAGCAAACCAAGCATAAAACACAGAAGAAAACTTCCCCTGAGCCCTCATATAAACGAATAATGCAGGGGAAAAATACTGAAATACAAGAAAAAGCACAAAAGCTTATTACATACTTGCAATGCTAATCAGATTCAACAGGTTCCTCAACTAATGCACATCTAGTAAGATGGAAATAGCTTAAAGCTAAGGGACATTTAAAATAATAACCCCGTAAAAACTACAACGACCTTAAATTCTCGTCATCCATTACTCTCCTGATATGACATTATATAAAGGGCTGAAATGATTCCATCTGGAACATCTGGAACACTTCATTAGCTGCAGGAAAGAAGGGGACAGGCTCTTCAGCATGGTCTGTTGTGACACAACAAGGGGAGATGGTTTTAAGCCTAAAGAGGGTAGATTTAGGTTGGATGTAAGGAAAAAGTCTTTTACAGTGTGGGTGGTGAGGGACTGGCACAGGTTGCCCAGGGAGGTGCTGGTGCCCCATTCCTGGAGGTGCACAAGGTCAGGTTGGACAGGCCCTGAGTACCTGATGGAGCTGTGGGTGTCCTTGTTCGCTGCAGGGGAGTTGGACCAGATGGGCTTTAAGGGTCCCTTCCAACTCTAAGGATTCTATGATGTGCCCAAGGAAAAAAAAAAAAAAAAAAAAAAGAAACTCAGACAACAGAAATATGATAAATGAGCTCTCAGCATTTAAATGCTATCAGCCATTAAATAATTCAGCATACAAAATAACCACCGAGGGGGCGCTGGGAGCTCTCAGCAGAAGCCCCTAAAGCGCCGCTCATCAACCCCCGCCGCCACTGCCCTGGGCGGCTGCAGAGCCGCGCGGTGACGGCGGAGCCCCGCTGCTACACAGCGCTGACAAACAACCGCACAGAACAAAAGCATCCTCTCGATCTTACCCTTCGCCGGTGAACTTCCTCTGCCTTTCTCAACTAAACGAGCGGCCCGTCTCTGATTCTACCGGATCATCCTTCTCTTCCTGCCTTTGAGATCCCGCTATTTTGAGACTTCTCGTGGTTTAGAACGCGTTTTCACACAGCGCTAAAAGCCACAGCAGCCAGGATTCGCCGTCGGCGAGCTCGGTCGCATTCCCGCGTGTGAGCGTTACTATTCCTCCCTGTAGCTCCCGCAGCTCTCCGCCCCGCTCAGCCATCCAGCAGGCGGCAGCGCCTCGGCTCGGCAGCGCCACGGCCGCCCGGCGCCGCTCCGCCCCGTCTCTCTCCTTCCGCCGGCAGCCCTGAGCGCGGTGCGGAACGGGAGCGGGGCCGGCCGCGCCGTGCTGGGCGGTAGGGCCGGGCAAGGGCCGGCGATAGCGGGGTGCTGCCGGCCGCGTTTGCGTACCCGAAACCCGGCGGTTGCAGATGAAAGCAGAGATGAAGGTCGGGTGCCTCTCCTTCCGCCAGCCCTACGCTGGGCTGGTTTTAAACCGGATCAAGACCATAGAGACTCGCTGGCGGCCGGTGCTCGCCAAGTACCGGAACCGCACCGTGGCTGTTCATATCGCCGTTAAGGACTGGGAGGATGAGTCGTGGAGGGCGATTCTTTTGGATAGGTTGGGAATGACGCTGCAGGAGGTGCAGGAGCTGCTGGAAAAAGGGGAGCAGTTCGGCAGAGGAGTTATCGCAGGTGGGCAGCTGTGGGCCGTGCATTTCCGAGCAAGCTTTTCATCTCGGCGTGTTTTCTTCGGACGGGTGCCTGCTTTGCACGGCCGGGCTCGTCACGGCATCGCCATCCAGCTGTGCTGGGCAATGCTGCTCCCCGAGCTGAGCAGCTCTGGGCAGGGTGGCAGTTCCACTTTTTTTATTACATCTTCGAGCATATGAAATCCTGCAGCGTTTTGCAGTGCAGTACAGTCAAGTGAACTTGTGATACGGCATTGCTTTTCATGTCATGTTAGATCAATTCTGTTTCAGTTCTACAGCTGCTCTATCGGTCTTATTACTTGGGCAGAGAATGATTTTATTTCTGTAGTACAAAGTTAGGATAGAGTGATGCTTCTTGAATTATTTTGTGCAGAATGTAGGAATGGAATGTTGTTTCTGCATTAGATATTAAAAAGGGAAATTGATCTGAAGAAGTAGAGCACAGTGTATTTGTATTTTGTAACTTAGAAATAGCTGTTGTGAAAAAGTAGAAATACCATCTATGTTAGAAATATAGTTGCTGAATTGTGACTAATTTTTGCTTGCAACACTGCAATAGTTTTTAAATGTTCCAAATAGCATAGGTATAGTGTTATGGACTAGAAAGCATATTGTAGGGCTATTCTGTTCGGAAAAGAGACCCTCAGCAAAAGAAAAACAGACTTAACAAACATCAGAGAAGCCAGGGCCTCTACACAAGGCTGGCTTGCCTTGCTCTGTGGGTAGGTTGGGATGCAACAGGCAGGCATTAAGATACTCCCCCCTGTCCTCCTTCCAAGCTTATCTCTATGCAAGGACGAGCAGATGTCCAGAAACAATGACCAAGTGTTGAATGAGCAAATGTGAGAACTTAACTAATTAGTGATATGTGCTTAGCTAGCAGAAATTGATGTTTAGCCAGTATCCGTATGTTTAGTTGAGTGTCAGGAAGATTGTGATCCTGAAGTACCCAGCCAACGAGGAACCAGGGGAGAAAGAGATCAGCGTAGAGTAATGGGGCATAAAAGATGTAAGGCTGCTTTCTGCAAGCTCTCCTGCTTGCAGGAGGCCCAACATTGCATCTTCTAATAAAATCTGCTTCATCAGAGATACCGTCCTGATACATTACTTGGATATTTCCAACAGGAAGAATAATGTGTATTACTGCTCTGAATATCACAAAGTGTGTGTCAAACATTCCTTCTAGGTATCAGTTCAGTTTTCACACCCTGTATCTCACATTCTCATTTGCATATTTTTAGCAATTCCTTCTATTGCTTGTTCCAGAAGACTGGTTCTATGGTGCTAAAAATTGTTAGGTACTAAGGAATGTGTGGATTGGTAACCTTCATGTAAACTGCATGCTAAACTGGGTAGTTGTAAAAGCTTCCTTGGTAATTTAGTATTTTTAATCTTTAAACAACATTGAAATTCCCTCTTGCAACAAGCTGTCTTCTGCAACGACCGACACTTGTTTAAGGTGTGCATATTTTGTACTGTCTTCTTTTGGCAGCATAAATCAGCAGCTTTGTATGTCCTCTGGGAGGTTTTACTTTTGGAAAACTTTTTTCTAGTTTCTCAAACTGTTTTGTTTTCTGATACAGGATTAATTGACATTGGAGAGACATCCTTGTATCCAGAAGATGTACCTCCTGAAAAGACTTTGGAGCTGGAAAACAAAGCTGTTCTCAGTAATCTAGAACAGAAATATCTGACTGTTGTTTCAAATCCAAGATGGCTTCTGGAACCAATCCCTGCAAAAGGGAGCAGAGGAGTGTGGCAGGTCGACATCCCTGATGAATTGATCCCTTCAGCATCATAGGAGTTGCCCCACACTGTGTTTTCTTCTGCCTAAGTGCAAACTTCTTGACAGATCGCCTTCTTAAATACCAGTGAATTGAACAGTATTCCTTCCAAAAGTAATTGCTTGAAGAATTGCTATTCTGAAGAGAGAGAATCAAGATGACATTTTTTATGATCATTACTGAAAATGAGTCACGTTTCACTAGATGTTTTATGTACATACAAGTGTAAATAAATCATAATTTTGTAATGCATGGTCAAGGTAATGTGTTCGATTTAAAGTCCAGTCTAATGCTGTGTGATGCATGTGTGTCTGGTTATATATACATAAATATATATATAAAGAACTAACAAACACTAGAGGTCAAGTGTTAGTCAGTCAGCTGCTAAATCTGAAGCAGTTTCTTCAAGTTTGGAATTACAAACCACCACTGGGAAACAATTGCTTAAAAGATTACATGAATCTCATACACTGATCTTGAACTCTTTTTCTCACATGGAACAGAGGCATTACCATAGTATTTTCATTTCTGAATGAAACTTTATTTCCTGATAGCAAGCCCACACATTCTCTTCAGTGAAAGCCAGTGACACTCACCCCTCTTAGTTTTGGTCTGAAGCTGTTCTCTTTTAGGAGCTAAGCAGGATTCCAGTTCAAAAAAAACCAAAAAACCCAAAAAAGGATAACAGAACTGGAGAACACTTTTCATTAAGACAGATTATTTGAACATTTGCATGTCTTGCCTTGGAGCTGCTGAGAACGGAGCAGCTCCCCATGCAGGCAGAACACCCCTGCTTCTCCCTGGGTGGCATTTATTCCACTATGGACACAGGGCAGATGCAGGGAATATGCTCTTCCTTTCTTGTACCAAAGCTTTACTTGCATTTTGGACAATCCTTATTAAGTTTGGGCTGCACTAGAAACATCAGTATAAAATGCAAAGGAGACAGTTGTCACCATTTCAAGATTGAAGAACTAAAAATTTTAATCTCATAATATATTAAAAAGAACTTTCAGGAGCATTCTCTCCCTTTCACAGGTTCAGAACAGCTTGTTTGAGCATAAATGTGCCACACAAGAGTGTTCTGAGAAATTAGCTCGCATGAAGAGGATCCGACATACGCCCCCCAGCTGCTGCTCCATCTAGAGAGCTTTTGAACATGCCAAAGCTTGGAAGTATTTTCTGCTGAATCCCCAGAGATGAAGGTCATGAGTGAAATGTTTCATGTTTCCAATTTCAGAACATCCCAGCAGCCCTCTCCTTACTTGCACTTCCTCTTCAAGCTGTTCTAGATACCACACACCACAGTGTCCTCATCTCACTGAAGAGTTTGAAATGGAGTGCTTCCAGAAAGGTTCCAGGGCTGCTTAAAAAAAAAAAAATAATAATGTATATTTTATTATTATTATTATTTTATTTTTTTATATATATAAATATGGAAAGCTACCAGCTCCCATAGAGCTCTCCCTAGTAGAATTAAGCACATTCTTTTTACCTGAGGTTGATGGAAAAGCCTCTTCAACTGGAGTTCCTGAGATTGTACCAGAAGCTTCTCTTCTGTCACATACTAGGACAGAAGTTGAGTCTGCCAAGTTAACTAGCTTGTTCAGAAGACCAGAAGACCTCCTGGTAAAGAAAGCTCTACTTTTTCCTCAGCTTAGCTGACTCCTTCAGCAGAAGGTAGTTACAGCACCAGCTGGGCTGCATCCTGCTAGCCAGGCCACTAGGAACAAATGGCACCAACTGAGAAGGGAGGAACAAGGTGGGCTGCAGCACTACAAATTAAGTTCTTTGCAGCTTTTCAGTTGAAGGCCTTTCATACACACAGAAGTGTCCATACACTCTTATATCACTGCCATACTAAGAGAGAGGAAATATGATCCACGATATTTAAATAAGCCGTGGGTTTGTGCAAACAGAAAGAGGAAGTACAAGGTACAGGCAGCTGATGGTAGGTGGTAGAACTTAATGGAATATAGGTTTCAAAGACTAATTTCTTGAAATCAGCTGGATGCTAAGTAAACCAGTAAAAACAGATCTCTCCTCAAATGAAAAAAACTATACCAACATGGACCAGTTCCTATTTTCAAGTTTAATCATCTGTACTAAAGATACCATACAAAAAAGTTGGTAATGAAGACTGAGTTAAGATATTTATATCAGCAAACCAACCTGAAAACTAATCTTTCTGGCATAGATTACGCACACAATGCAAGAGGCAACAGTTTATTAAACAGCCAAACTAATGACAGGGTGGCATACATAATGCTCAGGAGGAGTTAGAAAGTGAACCTGGAAAAGCAACTTCACTCCCAAGCCACTGCAAAAACTGAAATACGTACCAATCTACATAGCTAACTCAAAAGCATCAAGTAAGCTGCTATACATTCAATTTCCTCCCCAGAATCTTTCCAGTCCTTCCTCAGAAGCACAACACACCAGTGCTTTCAAAATTAAACTAATGATTGTGGCTGAGCAAAAAAGAGAAAAGAGGTACTATATCAAGACATCCACAACTACTCAGCACAGACATGGAAAATGAGCGTATATTTATAACCCGAAAGACACTTGGAATAGAACAGGCATTTCATACAGGCTTTTTAAAAAAATACTTTTAGATAATACTTATACTGTACAGGACGAGACTTTTAAACAATATATTACACTGCTAAAATGTTCATATAAATACTATACAGGCATGTGTGCCAAGTGAACCATTAGAGAGGTTCACAAAATCTCTGTGGAAAAACTCTCAATCTTCAAGATCTCCCATTTTTGTGATCCGCGCCACTGAATCAAGCAAAAGCTATTTTAAATTAATTGGGACGAGGCATGAGATGAACTGCATTTGTCTGTTGATTCCCAGTTCCAGTTTTAACAGGCTGTTGTCATCTTAATCTGGCATATCGATATTTAATTTGGGAGGTGGAATCACATATTTCCCAGGACTCTGTGTAATGACCACTCCAGTCTTTTTTCGAAACATCGGTGCAATTTTTGGTGGCTCAGGAACTGGGGTTTCTTCTGCTTCCTCGTTATCTTCGTGATGAAGATCATAGGAGATATTTCCATATTCACGTAGGAATGGGAAAATCTCAAGCAGGAACTGGCAGAAGTCTTTGCGAATTCCAAACCACCCTAAAAAAAACAACCAAACAAACCACCACCTTTCACATGACTGCAAACAGTTAGAAGTAAACTGAAGAAACCAAGACTGCTTCATCTGCCTTCTTAGGTTCTCCTGACTGTTTTCATTAGCAATCTAAAATTTACGTTAGTGCTGTTTCTCAGCATCACTGACAGCAGCCATAACATTACAGGTCAGGTGATACATACACAAGTGTGTGCACATGCACACATTACAGCTATACACTATAGCAAGAAGCCAGTACAATTCATGTTAAGGAGCACATTAGTAAATAAACAGAACAAGAAAGGCCTTGCATCACTCCAGCAATCAAAAACTGCCACCTGAGAAGACATTCATGCCAATTTTCACTGATATGCATAGGTTACAGTACCAGAGATGCTGCAATGACATAGATTTACTAATGTATGTCAGGCTACGTGCCCAGTATTCCCCAAATACTTCTGTCGTTAGCTAGAGAGTAGCATCTCATCCTCGGCATTTATTCTAGATTAAAACAACAGTACCTCTTCTGTTTATCATGTACTTTCTATCTAAACATTTGAAAGAGAGCATTTAATGAAGTGCCACTTGTGATTCAGTAGATGGCACTCTTCTGTCAATGAATACCAAGGTCAGCGTTGAGCAGTCTGCCCCAAGTCAAACCTTTCAGTGAACCAAGATAATTAAAGATTTGCCTATAAAACGCACACCCATCTTTTCACAGAGATTATACCTGATGACCAACTGCTCTACTTCATATATCATACAACCCTAACAAAAGATAAATAGGATGTTTGCCTTTCCAAACTAATTTGGCTGCAAATTATCAACAGCATGAAAATTCACCCAGAACAATTTTCTATGCAGCTTCTTTTCAACTCTGAAAAATCCTATTAAGTTAAATTGCCTTGCTGTGAAAAAACACCAAACTGCAACATCCGTAGCATCAATTAATAAATACTTACAGTGATTTCCTCCTTTTTGCCCAAATGTTGTTGCCATTAAAGTTATCAGTGAAAGCCACAGAGGAACAAATATGGGTATAAAAGAGAAAGAATTGTGCCCATCTAGTCTGTGTACTAGTAAAATCTAAACAGGAAAGAAAAATAATGTCAGTTTGTAATATCCATCTCCAAAGTTCTCTAAAACATGCAGTGACCTTGGACCTTTAGCTTCAGAGATTTAAGAAAAATGGCCTCTACAGAAATATGAATCAACAGATTCATTGTGAAACAGATTTTACATGCACACAAACAAAAACATGATTCTTGGTTTTCCTATTTACAGTTTATATTTATTCCCAAACAAACAGGGCATCTTAATTTCAAGTTTAGAGAGAGAGAGAGAGCGCACACAATATTCATTACTCACTGAACAAAGAAGAAACACAAAACTCCTTACACTTCATCCTACCTCAAAGGTGAGCAGAGGAACCACAATTGTCATCCAGCTGACAGCCATTGTGATGTGCGTCCTCCTCTGCTCAGCAATCACATCCATTGAACGCAAGAACAGAACAGACCAAACGATGTAATAGAGCACCACCAGGCAGAGAAAGGACATCAAGATCCACAACGGAACGCAGACAACCTGAAAGAAAAAAGAAGCTTACTGCTTTCTGCCTTTATTTATTTACATAAGGCACTAACAGTAAGTTACAATAAGGACCCACATATTAAGACTGAAAAAGAAGAATAAAATCGAGGGTAATCCTCCAACCCATTTCATCTCTAACAAAAAAGCTTCACAAAGTCATATGGACTGTTACGAGCCATATCAACTCTCTGGGACTCCTCAGTAAGCTCTGTGAACTCCATCAAGCCAAAACAATGAAAAATGAAGATAGGTCTGCTTGAATAAAACTTCTTGTGATTTTGAATGGGCTCAAACAGTATTGAAATTGACTTCAACGTTTTCTACATTGGACAACTTACTCAAGGAGGTATCTACAGGAGATCCTTCACCATGTTGCTTGGAAAATAACAATCGCAATCATGACAGGCTACTAGCCTTATGCAGTTTACAGAAATCCAGATACAGAACTTCTGTATTCTAAAACCATGTGCTTAAATCTACTGTTTCATATTTTGATAGTGACCACAGTAAACGGATTTAGACACATGGTAGCATAACAAAAGTTACTTATCACACAATATTTACCTACACATTTCTTAAGTCAACAATCATTTTCCTGGCTAGTTCACTGTTCCAACTGGGAACTTCTGTTGAGGTTTTTATTTTCTCCAGCAATTGGACAGGGACTGGTTACCGTTGATGGCATGCCTCTCTTCCCCTGAAGGAAGGAATGCTATGCTCTTATCCAAAGAACAGCCTGTCTCCTATGACTACTGAATGAAACGTCAGACTTTCAGCAAAGGACTGTTAAATAAGCAAAATACAGATCACAGATTCTGACCATACACATTAATTGTTCCCTGCAGCAAATACTTATATAAAATTTAGTATTTGAACAAGTTTAAGAAGAAAATACATACAAGCCACGGCCATCTGATGATCTCATCGAGTCTGAGGGCAATAAATATGAATTGCAGAATATTAACTGAACACAAGATCTCCAGCTAGAAAGAAAAGATACATTGGTTAACACTTAGCATTACAAGGTTAGTTGCAAGACAACTTGGGAATCTGTCAAAGGAAAAAGCCAAACTGTTCAGGCTGGAAAAACAAAAAAGAAATTAGGAAGTAACTTTAACTATTTTCTTTAGATAATAAATATTGATAGATCTTTTTTGAAGTCCTTAAATTCAAAGTTATGAAGTCTCAAAAAAAAAAAAAAAAAAAAAAGTATTTTAATTGCTGCACTAATACATTAAATCTATGTGATTTTCATCTTTAACTAAGAGCAATCCAGTTGAAACTCTGAGGAAAAAGAAATACACAGAATAAAAGACCACATGAGAAATTAATTATTGAATTTGCAAGATACCTAGTTTGTGAAGCAATATAGAAAAACAATAGTTTTCATGACAAATATTAAATGAAAGCTTGCATGCACCCCAATTGCTGCTATGCAGGTAGCTCAGAAAAAAACACCTCATAACTATTTCCATGGATACAAAGAGCACAATGACTGTATTTGATAAAGAAAAATTCTCAACTACAAAACACTGCTTTTCAACTTCACCACTATTAGCTACACATTTTTGCCAGAGATGAACAAGAGCCTGCATGGCATACTTGTCAAAATCTGCACCAGTGAAGGTGATCCACTGTTTCAGAGCTGCTATGATTACATCTTTGCGAGGAAAACATTGCCCATCAGCCCAAAGAGAAGTCAGTGCATACGAATTTGGTGCCTTCTGACTATCTGGTGGGTGTGTTAGGACAGTCCAGCCAAGATTGGTGATGCGCTCCACAATTTGCAGACAATTACGGGGCTTGGTGTTATCATGTTGCAAAACTAAGGTTGTGTTCTCTGGCCAGACTCTGCAAAGTCAAGCCTTCAGCTCAGTCAGCATCATGATGTGGTCAGAATTGATGGCCTGTCCAGGTTCCAGGAAATCCAGAAAGACAACATCTTTCCTATCACAAAAGACACTGCACACTGCTTTATCTGCTTAGGGGCTGCATCATGAACTTTCTCTCCCATGGGGAAATCATGTGTTGCTACTCCACAGACTGCTGTTTTGACTGTAGCTCACAGCAATGCCATCATGTCTTGTTACCAGTAATTATACAATCCAGGGAACTCACAATGATTCAATAGGTCCTAACAAATTTGCATAGGGTGTTCTTTCTATTCCTGTGTCAGCATTCATGGGACCATCCTGGCATAAACTGTGATTTTCCAACACTGTGACCATTGTTTCCCATGCACTGCAGTCAATATTCAACTCTGTATACAATCTCCTGGTCAGGATCCACTGATTCATGCAGATGAGCTGACTGAGATGCTCTTCACTTTGTGGTGTGATAGCTGTGCATGGCTGTCTGGAACATGACTTCAGTGACTTTCAGGTCACTGCTGCCACTGCTGAGATGCACCACTGCGCTCACATCCATTGTTTGGTCTCCATACATGTTCAGAAAGTGCCAGTGAATGTCAATGGGTGCCATTTTTTCCCACATGGAGGAATTCAATCCTGCCCCTCTACTTCATACACATTTCCATGTCAGATGGCATTTTCTAACACTGCTCTTCTGCTACCATCCATCACACAGCAATGAAGGGGAACAGAACACTGGTTGGTGCTGCGACAGTAGAGGTTGAACCTTCCCACATCTGTCTCTGATATTGTGGGCAAACATAACAAACACTGGACTCAGCAAGGTGCTACTCCTGACGTTTATGGGCCAATCCTAGGCGGGTAGGAATTTCAAAGATCAAACAGAAACATTAACTGAAAAAAACCTCAAGAATATCTGTAGTTAAGCTTAGAACATTTTCTATTTTACTTAACATGTGAATACATAAGCCACCTTTGAAATTAAGTATTTCTCAGAGGCAGACAACGTCCTCTACTTCTCAGTAACATACACGCACGCTGTGTTCTCTTGCATAAATGCCTTTGGAATTCATAACATTGGGAGGGAAAAACTACATTCTAACAGGTATCAAGCACTTCCATACTTCAGAATTCTGCACTGTTTAAGTAGGCGTTGCTTTAACAAAGCTAAAAAAAACTGGATTTAAAGTAATTTTCTAACATTAACCTTCTGAAAAGTATAAACAAGTAAAAAACACGCACACAAACAACTCACACTTCAGCATAAGACCAACCAACTAGAAGAATGCAAACAGGGAAAAGAATAAGTAATGAATATCACATACAAAAACAAGCTTTTTCTGAGCTCACAATGATGTTCGTATACGCTACTACAATTGCCATAACCATGGGAAGTTCTTGAAAAGTCTCTTTTGGGTTTAAGGAGCATTTCCTGAATCTAGTTAGGGAGGAAAGGAGCTAGAGGCAGAAAACATGGAATTATCATTTTATACCTGCTGCCTGCATTCCCAAATTAATCACACTGATTAAGAAGGTAAGAAACTTTCAACTCTGATTATCCAGGGCTCAGGAAGTCCAGGGGTACTGCTGCCTAACATGGAAGGTACTTTTCAGTAATTTCAGTTTCCAAGTTTCTATTATTTTATAGTCAGAGTTTGTGGCACGTTCTTATAGCATATAATAATAAACAGACAGGTTTAAGACGTACTGCTATTTGGTAGTTGAAAAGAGATAATAAATGGAAGAGATGATTCAAAGTATTATTCCCAATCCTAACTTTTCATTTTAGTAGGTCAGGACAAACAAAGTAAGGCAGCCACGTATGCTATGTTTTTGTAAGAGGAACTCTTAAGAAACTGTCTTGCACTGTCCTAGTTTTTATACATCACAACAATTACCTCCAGGGACCTGTCATGTCGGAATCCCCATACGCAGGCTGCAACTGACACAGGAGATACAAAGAACAACGGCATGAAGACCAGAAGCCAAAAATGAGTTCCTCTTTCGATTCTGTCACACACCAGGACTTCGAACATCAACAGCAGCAGGTGGATGCCCACTGCAATTAACATCGCTTTGAACTCCACACACGTTTCTCCTTCTGCTCTAAAAAGAGGTAAAGAAGGTATTCAGTTCACTTGCCAAAGAGAAAGCATGCTGCTCTGCGAACAGCCCAAAACATTTTGCTTACAGGGATTAGTTTTGAGATGGTAACTCCGTTGTTTAAATAAATGTCTTACTCCCAGTTACCGCTGTTAAAATACAGCGCTGATGAAGAAACAGGACTTCCTCCCCATAAAGCTGTACAATTAGGTTATTTCCATTCAGACAAAAGAGCAAATGGAATTTTCACAATTTGAAAACTCTCTAAGGATTCAATACCTATGCAGATAAAAAGCAGGATTTCTGTATTACAAACTAAACACTCAAGTTATTTCCTAGCAACGTGCGTGATAACCAAGTCTAAAATTACCTGCTTGGCTCCTGCCCCAGCTCTCATTGACTCTACACCTTTCCCCACAAAATGTCTTTAGTCCCCTAATTCTGCATATTCCAGCAGAATATTACATATTTTTTATTTTTTAAAAAGTCTCTATAATAACAGCACAGACAGAGAAACTGTGCTTTTTTCCTATACAAAGGCAAATCAGACAGTCTTGAACCACACAGTAGAATGCATCAGAACAAGATCTGTGCATAAGACTTTCCATTTTATATCCATCATAGAAAGAAAAGTGGTATGAATTCATAACATTTGATTTAAGGTAGTTTCCTTTCTTTAGCACGTTCAAGCTCACATCCCATTGAGATTGTCAGAAAAGTCAGCACATATGTGCATTTAAAAGACTTAAAGCTATTTTAGCTTCCACTGATAATTAAAATATCACAATTACGCTCCTTTGGCAAAGAACAAACAGGAATTCATAATAGTACCTCACTTTGGATATGTTACATGTCTGCGTATATTAGTGGTTATTACATGTCTGTGTACATTAGTTGTTACTACGTGGTTTTTTCTTATCAAAATGTAATTCTAGCCTAAAGAGAATTATCCACCTTCACTGCATGTTCAAGAATAACTAAATACTCATTCATCTGTACACTGAGGTTACATATCAAGGTGAAGAAAAATCCTCCATTCTTCAAAATGATCTGTATATTTAAGAAGCTGATTTAAGAAAAGAATCCAATTAAGTATAGCAGATCTCTAGTACTATAAAGACACATTTTTATATAGATCACATTAAAGAGAAGAATTCTCAACGTTCAAACAGAAAGATGAGTTCCCCCATGGCAGGTTTTAACTTCCCAAAGACAATATTCTCAAAACTTGTGAGAAGCTGTTGCAGCTCCGATGAAGACATCCATAGCCATCAAACACTGTCTGCACTCACTTTAAATGATTATCACAAGCTGCACATTAAAAACAAACCTTCCGGATGTTGTTATATCTCACAGTTTTTAAAAACCTATTTTGGGGTTTATTTCAGTAGCAAGATGGCCTACGTTCCCTCTGTTCTGCAAGTCAAACAGCCACAACTTACCGATACTGCGGGTTTCGGGCCCACACTCCCGTTCCCACTGAGGCGCCAACAATCACCATCAACTTCCACAGCCATATTGGTGCAAACACAGCCCAGTAACTCCACTGAATTTTGTCATCCAGACGTAGGGATAGCAACACAGAGAAAAGCAGCAGGCAGGCGTAAATGAGAAATTTGCTAGAAAACAAGCAAAAAGAAATTTAGGCAGGCAACGCAATTTGTTAAAGAAGAAGTAAATCGGTCGTAGCTAACACTGAACAGGACAATTCCTATCAGGAAACGTCTTTCAAAGTCCTTTGCAAGGAATCATATCAGGTCTGAAGAGTCAAAGATTCTACCACAAACATAACATGTAATCTTTCACATATAAAATCCCTGCTTCAAGGGAACACATCTAAAGCATTCCTTCATGACAAACATAACGAATGGACTTCTATAAATAGCTCCCTCCCACAAGGATCCAGTCCAGAGCTGTGCTATTACAGGCTTAGAAACATGCCAGCTGTATGTGTTGTGGGGAAATGCATTCTTTCATAGAAATCAAATAATATAAGTTAAAAATAGGGTGGACAAAGCTACAAAAACAATGTAATTTTGTTCTGAAGAATGATTAAAGACAAAAGATTGTTACATGCTGCGATGCAGCAGGCTCCACAGATTGCTTTTACGATCTGTTAATTGAAAGCAACGTTATACAAAAACAAAAAACAAACAAACAAACAAAAACGCCACAGGTTAAGCTTTTAACAAAGTTAGCGACTATCAAGTCAACCTTGTCACTGCAATGCTGAGGGTCTCCACGTGAGTTTAAAATAGTTACAATGACACACTGCATAAGCAAGTGAATCTAAGGAGTAAGTGTACATAGAATATCAGGGAAGGGGCACAGGAGCTGTCTGCAGCAGCAGGAATGACACGAACAACTGCGCAGGACACAACCTGCTCACACCGCAGGAAGGAAAAAAAAAGTCACCCACGCTCACGCTGCCATTCACCAGAGGATCTGCTCCATAAAGCGCATCATCGCGCTGCAGCAACGCGCCAGTAATTACGTGTATCCCAAAGCGCGGATAACACAGCACGGCACTCACTGAGGAGCAGAACAGCCCAGCAGGAGCACTGCCTTCATCCCAGCGCCGTAACTCGCACTGCCCGCTTTCACCCTCATCGCACAGCCATCGAGAACGCAACAAGTCAGGCTGCCTTGCTTCTATTCAGATCAAGGATCTCAGATGTCCCTTAAAGACAACGAGCAGCACTCGGCAACAACAAAACCCCATATAGTTCCGGAACGCATTTCCCTGCTTTTCCATTACTTTCGAGTGGGTGTCGAACATCGCCGCAACAACGCATTTCCTGAAACGTCCGTCGCTCTTCCTCTGGTGCACGGAGCTGACCGAGCACCGCCCTTCGGCACCGCTCCGCGAGCCCGGAACGCGGCCAGCCTGCCGCCCCGCGCACACCTTAAGGGCTTCCTCGTTTGCCAATCCTTCGTAACGTTAGCGTCACTGAGACCGAGCTCATCTTCCCAGCCTGCTCGGCAAGGCAGCGGAAGCCCCGCATTCAAAGGACCAAAACAAAGGAACGCCGCCCGCGATCCCCGTGCCCGGACGGCGCACCGCACGCAGCCGCGCACCGCACGCAGCCCCGCACCGCACGGACTCCCCCCGCCCTCCCGCGGCCACCAGTGCCGGAGCGGGCCGCCCTCACCTGGGGTTGAAGTCCTGGAACAGGCCCCGCAGATTCATGGCAGCACAACGCCGCTACACCAGCGCTCTACCAGCCGTGCATGGCGTACCGCTGCCGCTTGGCTCGGTTTGGCCTGACCCGGCCTCGCGCCGCTCCGCCCCGCCGGAACCGGGCGGGCAGCCGGCCCGGCGCACGCGCACCGCGTTCCCTCCACCGGGAAGAAGGCGGCCCGCTCCACGGCTTCGGGCGAGCTGCTGCGCATGCGCCGAGCGGAAGCGCTGTGCCGTAGGGCGGCCGGCCGGCCCTGTGTCCGGACCCTGACGTGCGAGTAGCGGTGGGGGGGGTCAGGGCTGTGTGGTGAAATTGCTGCCGTCTAGTGCGCTCGTGGGTTAAATTCATCTCTAGCGTAATCCCTGGGATGTGTGATCTCAAAGTGGGATTTCTTTCAAGGTGGGAAGCTGATCGTTTCACCCGGTATCACCCAGCCGGCTGCATTGTGGTTAACGGGCTTTGCAGTGACGAGGAGGAAGCAGGATTTTTGCCAGCATTCTTCCTAACTACACTGTTATCAGCAGCACCTCAGCTGTGGGCAGGATTTCAGGCGTTTTCTCTGGCTTATTGCTGTGGAAGCTGTACAGTGCATTTCCTCGTTGCTGTAGGTGTATGTCAGTGTGCACAGATGTGAAAAAGCAAATGCAACGTGGAAAGGGAAAGACTCCTCTCAAATGTTCTTTGCTATGAGAGTGGTGAGGTGCTGGAACAGCTGCGCAGAGGGGCTGTGGGTGCCCCGTCCATCCCTGGAGGTGTCCAAGGCCAGGTTGGATGGGGCCCTGGGCAGCCTGGGATGCTGTGAAATGTGGAGGTTGGTGGCCCTGTGTGTAGCAGGGGGTTGGAGCTTCGTGATCCTGAGGTCTCTTCCAACGCGGGCCATTCTGTGATTCTGTGAAAAGGTTGGCAGCTGCTTTCATTTCTGTTCTGGATGTAATCACATCTGCTGTTTAAATGTCCCTGAATCAGGTTGAAATTCACAATTGCACAGATAAGAGCTGCAAGAGTGATTAAATGCTGAGGAAATAACATGTCCTAATGAACTGAGTATTTCAGTGACACTGAGATTGCTTACGTTGTGTAAGTACTGAGAAAATTGTAGGTACTGAAGAACTTCAACAAGAATGAAGGCTGAGAACTTAAGCTAAATACATTCTGATTAAAAATGAGAGGTTTTTTTTCCCCTTCATCCATTCCATAAATGCACCTTATTAGCTACTGGAACAAATTGCTCTGAGAAACAGATTTTTCATTTTTAATGAAATTCAGGTGCTGTCTGGAAGGTACATACTAATTAAACTGAACTCAATGGGCTTAACAGTAACAAGGGTTATGAAATCAAACAGCAGGTCAGGACGATATTGGTGGTAGGTGGACTAGATGGTCGTAGAGGTCTTTTCCAACCTTGGTGATTCTATGATTCTATGGTGATTTGCACTGAGTCTATCTTGTGATAGGTTATCTGATGATTCTTTCTGATCTTAAAATTTCCATACCTCTACAATAATCAGGATTGCATTGTAACTAAAATGTTAACAAAAGAAAAAGCAATTGTATCTTGACTTCTAGAGTTTTCTAGCTCCATCATAAAAAAAAGATTAAAAAAAAAATTTAAAAAGAACAGGAAAAGGAAATTATCTAATTAATCTTCATCCAATGCTAACAAGGCTGCTAATTTATATCAGCTAAGGAACTTATATGCAGTGTGATGACTTCTTAAAAGCCATAGCTGGTTGTAGCCTCTGACACCATTCATCAGTTAATGTGGTTCAAATAAAAAATGTGATTATTTCATGGCAAAGTGTAGGTGCAATTTTAACCCTGTTGGCAACAGCACAAATACCTAACATATTTCCACACCAGGAGCTTTCTGCATAATATTTTCAGTTCCAAGAAGGCAAGCGTATGTCAGGGCATATAAGAAAGCAAAGACAAGTTGACACAAGTAATAGTAGCAGGGAGGGTGTGTGAGGAGACTGGCAAGCAATCAGGTTGAGAGAGATGTGTGAAAACCTAATGGAAGGAAGGAGAGGGAAAGGAAAGGATGAAGGCTAGGCAGTCTTCAGATACTGATGAGATAAACAGTGCCATGTAACCTGTGGTAGTGCACTACACAAACTTCTGAAAAAAAACAAATTACAAAGCTTAAAGAAATTAAAATTAGAACTTTGTTTTTCATTCCGCTCTTTCAAATGTTGAGCTTTACTAGTTTGAAAAAGAGAACACGTGCATAATCTATTTATTCAAGACAAAATAAATCTTTCACAACATACAAAGAAACTACTAGACAAGGCAGTACCTGTGGTCATTATCCTCAGACAGATGCGATTATAAAATAAAGTCAAAATAATATTAACAAGAAATTAACTTAGAATAATTTAGAAGCTTAGTAAAGCAGCATGTGTATTCAAATAATATTCATTAAGGTCCATAGGAGTAAATCAAGAAAGATTTCTTCTGCAGTTGCAATGTTGGCTGACTGCCCAGCAAAATCGTTCCTGTAAGTGACAAAGAATCATAGAATTGTAGAACTAGAAAATAAATCCCAAGTTCCAGAAGATAGAGAGACAAAAGCTAAACAAATAAGTAAGTACATAAATAGAGGGAAGGGGTGGAGATAACTGGGTAAAACAGCCCTTGGCTGTTGGACCCAACCTGCAGGGCCACAGCTGAGAAAATGTCCACTTTATTTGCTTTTATTTATTCTTTTTCCTGAAGAAATATGTAACACATTTAGATCACTGCAAGATTGTGGACTTTCCCCCCAGAAGAAAGGTTAAGTTTTGTCTGCTAAGCAGATGCTGTCAGATCTGACACATTCTGTGTGTTGTTTCTCTGTCTGTGAAATAGCTGTTCTTGCTGCAAGTGATGAAGATGGGCTGTAAAGAGGTGGGCACAGAAAAGATGATGCACACAGGGCTGTTTCGTGGTGCTGCTGGAGTGCTCCCTGGGATGCAAGCATGCATACATCACAGACAAATCTATATGTGCACCAGTGCCTCCCTGCTGTGCTCCAGCTTCCACACTCACCTGGGGACGTACAACAAGCTGTTTTCCCTACATTCTTCCTTTTCACCATCCTGCTCATCCTTTGTGTGATCTTCTGGTACATCAGTACGAGTGGGAACAACGAAGATGCCTGAGTGCAGGCAGGCTGGGAGGCTGGACTCAGCACTGAGCCCAGGGCTCACAAGTACTGTGGTGTCCAAGCTGAGTGCATTCATGTGCATGTCTGTGTAGGAACCCTGGGAAATCACTGCCTGGCCTTGCCGCTGGCGAATGTCAGTGGTGTTACCACTCAGAGCCAAATTAAGTGCTTTTCTTCTCTCCTCCTGACTGCTAAGTTTCTTTAGTTTGCTTGTAGCCTGTTCAGATAGTCTTTTATTTTGGATATTTTATTTATATCTGGGAAGTTCATAAGTATCCCTAGGGCTGCTATAGGGTTTCAGAGCCAAGCGACAGAGAGCAGAGCAGTTGAGAAGTGGCTACTGAAGGATGTATGTTCATTTTTGTCAAGCCCAGTAAAACAAAAAACAAACTGACACGGGGAGCAGACAGCAGGCTATGGTATCAGTCACCTCCATTCAACCCCTTTCAGCTAAATCTAATAGCTTAGAAATGAAAATTATTTATTTTCCTGATCTGAGCAATTAGTCAAAATGCTTCTTCACAATGCCATCCAAATGTTTATGATGCTGTGAGAAAGCAGCTAATAGCTCACAATACGTAGAGCAGAGCCGTTAGAGAGAAAACGACAGCAATACTTTCTACTGTAGATTAGACAGTCCATCTTTCCATCCAAACTTGATTCATTTGAGATTAATGATGATCTGTTTGCCTTTTTTTTTCCTTGCTCATAGGCAATAGGGTATTAGAAGAGACATCATTAATTGTAATATCCTACCTTCCTTCCATTAAATTGTCAGTTGAAGTTGTTACTTTCAGATAACCTGAAACTCACATTATTAGCCATAATTAAATTCCTATTAAATTCTTGCCTAAAATGAGGTGAAATACTTTTGAATTTAAAATAGTAATTAATCTAACTAAGTTGTGTGCCTGAATACAATTTTCTTTCTGTGTTCCAGTGGATTTCTGTGTAAAGGTGGAAATGTTATCCATTAATAGTTAATTTTGCATAGCCACTGGTCTGGACTAGCAGCCTTTCCCTACAACAAGTGTAAAGTTTATTAAAATTTGATCACATGTAAGAAGGGCATGTAAATATCAGCTGAGTTATTCATGTACATATGCATCCCCTTATTTGTCCATTTTCTGCAGTGTTCAATGTCTGGCATGATCAAGCCCAAAATTAGAGGGCACTGTAGTTTAGAGGTTCAGTTAAACCCATCTGCCAGAAGATTACAGAGAAGGACTTGTCCCACAAGGATCTGTGACTTCAGAACAACTCCTCTAAGTTTACTTGCAAGTATTGAGAAGGAGGTACCTATATTTTCAAGTGAGAGAAGGCATTAGAATGTTTTCCTAGACAATGAAGCAGCAATTTTCCATGTTAGCTGTGGTTGTAGAAGAATGTAATAGTGTAATGACAAAAGGACCATTTTCTATAGTAATGGGATGTAAAACTGAGGGCATAAGTGATATTCTTGTTGTTGTTCAAAGATCTTTTAAGTTTTTCATGAAAATGAAGAAGTAAGGGCTAGATATTTCATGTTAAGAAGACAGGGAAAAAACTGAACATATCTTCATTTACCCAAAAGGGAAACATCAAATGCATTTGCTCTTTACTTGATAATAATATTTTTTCTTTTAAGGAAAGCCAGTTGAAAAGAATACGTGTATACATTTAGTTAGGGTTGTTTCCTTAAGTGGTGGGACTTGCTTTGCTTGCCCTTGGGA